GGCATTGACGCATAACCAGCCTAATGTCTCTGTTTCTCAGGTCATATCTTTTGAAATTATTTAATGATTGCAATTTTATTTAGCTGACATTATTGTGATATAAAATATATAAAATATTCTACAATCATAGAGTGACATATTTATAAATATAAAATTGAAAATCAAAAGAATACAAGGGAAAGCAGCAATAAAACAATTAGGTAGTTGTTTACCTAATTCACATTTAATTTTGAAGATTTCTAAGATTGGGATAATAAAATAGGGTTTAGTTTATGTCAATCACCATGATGCTGTGGAGTTAATTTAATAAGGTAGGCATGTAGTAAATCATAAAAAAAAAATGTATGATTTGACCGACATCAATAATCGATAACAAAATCAACTCTAATGTAACATACAATTGGTCAAACATCTCAAAACAAAAAATGGTTTAAAAAATTGAGTACATCTAAGTTTAAAATAATAATTAATTATTTTGTAATATTATTAAAGATATGACCATCCAAAATATTAGGGACAAAATTAGTTAGAATGATTTACATTCTTTTATATTAATTTTTGTTAGTAATGTCTATAATTTTATACTAATTAAATTTAGTAACTTGATGTTTAAGAAATATTTTAAGAAACATTATAATATCACTTCAAGATATCTAAACCAACCAATCAATGTAAGATATTAATATATCAACACTAATAGATAGATGACATAATAAGATAATAAGCCTACTAAAGGAAGAAACTGGGCGTAAAGTGTTTATGATGAAAGATGAGCATAATGGGAAGTCCTGTAATTAAGTCCATGCCATTTACTTGGAGGACCCAACTGTAGGGGAATTGCTTTTCCAATCAAGACCAGAGGAAAGCAAAGAGAAAGAGGAAGAGAACCCATTTACTAGATGCTGCTGCTTCTTGATAATATCCCTTGAATGTAGATTAGGAAATCCATATGAGCTTATAATTAATGGGTGCCTTCTTAATAACAGATAGCTATGTTCTTGAATGAATTTTCCACTTCTCTCTCCAGGCGAGTGAGTGTAGGAGCCATTTAGAGAGAGAAAGAGAGAGATTCTGAGAGGGGAAAGTTGCACATGCCCAACTGACAGAAATGGTTGTGTGAACAACAACAACAACAATATATTTCACTCATTTTTAGGAGAGGGTGGGAGTGTTTGATTGAGAAAGGTAAATTTCTTGTATGCCCTACTCATTGCTGTCCCCATTTTAGAGTGGAATAGGAATACTACCCATGTGTGTGTGTATGTATGTATGGATGGTTTCATTCATAATGCTTGCTACCCTAAAATCTACTTTCCAGATCCCTATGCTACTATCATACACCACCAACACCAAGTATGCTTATATATCAATAACGCAATGCTTGAAATTAAAATCTGAAACAACCGAAACAGAGTGAATTAGAGAGATCAATAGTACAGAGTACATACATATGCTCAGGCCAACAAGCGCCAAATCTTCTTCTCAACTATGATTGTTTTTTGTGCGCAGAGATGTATGGGCCTGAAATGTCATTGTTACTCGATTCCCATTGTAATCATTGAATTTCATTTCAACGGAGCAAAAAACAATTTAAATAAACGAAACTGAAGAACACTTAATATCCCAATCAATTTGTTGTTGTAGAGAATATTTTGTTGTTCTTCATACAAGAAAATTAAATGAAATGAAAACCATACTCACAGTCGTGCAGCAAATTCCCCTCCTAACACACCGAGGAGAAGAAGTGGATAACGAAATCAAAATAAAAAAATAAAAACAGAAGAAAGAAGAACATAAAGAACAAATTAAGAAATTCAATGCCTCTTTCTCCTTTTCCTTTTTCAATACTATTTTCGTTCCTTCCTTTTTTCCGAGAATCCTTCGTTCCTTCTTTTTTTCTAAAATCAGAGTGTTGATTTAGATGTAGAAGTACCTGCAGCAGCAGCATCAACGGCGCGAGCCATTCCTTCAGTGACGGACGTAAGCTTCTGCAGATTCAATTTCACAACTGTATCTGCAAATAGACGCGTATCCTCTTCCGTATTCCCTTCCGGCACATCCACGATGTACGATTCCAAAACCACCGTCCAGATCTGACCATCGCGCTCCATCTCATGCACCGTCGTCACAGACCGGTAGTTCCTCAACCGATGCTCGCCGCCTGTGATACTGAAACCGGTCACATACCGATCGTCATCGAGTATATCGAGCCGCTCTGTACTCGTCGCCGCCGGGAGGCCAGAGATTACATTAACGTCTCTGGTACATCCTACGGTCATTGTGAAGCCTTCAGCGACGGTACAGCTCTTGATGAAGTGCTTGTAAGTCTGAGGTTTATCAAAGCGGCGGACGACAGACCAAACGACGTCGCGCGGCGCACGGATGAGTTGAGAGAGGAGGGAGGAGCATTGGCCCGGCCGTAGTTCATAGGAATGGAACTTCAAGATGATGTGCTTCAGGTCATCGAACTCGTGCTGAGAAAATCCGTTTGGGAAGGCTAGGTGGTGGGAAGTAGCGGTGGTGGCGGCGGCAGCAGTGGCAGAGTCGTGATGGTGGTGGTCGAATTCTGACTGTTCGCCCTTTTCCATTTCTGTTGAGCGCTTTTTCTTTCCTTCCGCCACGGAAATGTCGGGCGTTAGACAAGAGAGAGGACTCTTTATTAAACTTTTTTTTTTTCCTCTCCTTTTATAATAAATAAAAAAATAAACATGAATTTTATTTTTCAATTTTCTGGTTGGAGCTGAAAACGGTTGGGGCAAAATGTCAAAGTAAGCAATAAGCATCATACTCCCTTTTAAATTTCGTGTCATTTAATTATAAATTTACTTATATTTACTAAACTTAATGTTTTACCAATAATAATAAAAATTAATATTTCTAAAATTCAATTATTCTTATTTGTTTGTTTTTTAATTTTAATTTCAATTTTGAAGACAAAACATTAATTATTGAACTAGATTATTTGGTATGTTTTGAAAATTGGAGAGTTTGGATGGACTAATTCTTGTTAGTTAGATATCCTAATCATATGATGACAAATTTAATGAATAAAATTGCAACAGGGAATTTATAATTATCAATATTCATGATATTATGGTTTGAAAAAAATAATTAGAATAATTGGGGGTAAACAACTTTATTATAATTCTGTCGCTAAATTAATTAATTAGGGATACAAAAAATGACGTGGAAAAGAGGATGTGGCCGAAGCTCGCTGGAAATGAAAGTAGGGCGTCAGCATCATATGCCACGTCTTTTCCAGCTAATCAAATTAATTAACGCATTTCCCTTTTTCTAAGCATATCCATAATATATTGCCATTTTTTTAAAAAAATATTGTCCCATCAAACTTATTTAATTTTATTCGACATGCTACATTAAGCTTCAACAATGCCCTCCTCCTACAAGAATTTAATTTAATTTAATAAATGGTTGATTAAAAATGAAAAAAAAAATGAATTTAATTATATACCAATTCATTAAAATGAAAAAAAAAAAAAAAAAAGTGTGGACACGAAGCATCCAACTGACCTCTTCAAGTCAGCTCACCCATGACTTGTCTGCTCCCCACTTCATTTTTTTAAAATAAAAAATCATGAAAAATAAAATATTACTCAAAATAAAATAAAAAAATAAAAATCTCTCCCCTCTTTCTTTTCTCTCTCTAGACTTTAATTTAATTTAATTTAATTAAATTAAATTTATCAGCCCCTACTTCATTATTAGCGGGACATAATGTTGGATAATCTAGTGTTGATGCATTTGATTCTCAACATTTTTAAATAATATTCTATTTTTTTAATTTATTTAATAAACTGTGTGTTTAGTTGACTCAATAATGTTATTGAATAATAATAATATTCCAGACGCATTTGCAATTAATTTTAAATGTATCCATCCAAGTCACGAAAATATTCTTATTTATTTATTTATTTATTTCCATAAAATGGAAATTATGATGTTTAACAGCCATGACTTCTACTAGCAATAATTATAATTTTTCAATAAAAAAACGAAATGAATTATTGTTATAATTATTTTATAATAAATGAGAGATAAAACCAAAATATAATTATGTTGCTTAACATGTTAGCCAATGGAATGAGGAGAGAGGGTGGCAATCATTTAATGTAACAACATTTCAGCAAATCATACCATGAAGTTCAAAATTAAATAAATTAATGCTATCGTATAACATCTTAATCTTAATCATTACTCATTCATTCATATTCAATAAAATACAATGAAAACATTATATTTGATACAATAATTAAGATCCAAAATCAAAATTAGAAGCATAATAAGTGATCTATAATATATAATTTGGAATTGGTGGGCACCATCTTTTCCGTAGAGTGAAAGGCAAAAAGAAATGTTTACAAAGTTTGCCCCAAATCAATATGAGACATAATAACAATATATTACTGTTTTTAAATCATGTCCGCTAGAATCTACCCTTCAAGCCCCAACATTTAGGGAGAGGTTTCCATACTCAATTCTTCATTCTCCTTTTCATTCGATGTGGCCCCCTTCAAGACCCAACATCCGACGTGACCCCCTTCAAGACCCAGCATCCTCCGACGTGACCCCCTTCAAGACCCAGCATCTTCCGACGTGACCCCCTTCAAGACCCAGCATCCTCCGATGTGACCCCCTTCAAGACCCAGTATCCTCCGACGTGACCCCCTTCAAGACCCAGCATCCTCCGACGTGACCCCCTTCAAGACCCAGCATTCGACGTGACCCCCTTCAAGACCCAGCATCCAATGTGACCCCTTCAACCTCCAATGTGACCCCTTAAGGACCCAACATCCAATATGACCTCCTTCAAGATCCAGTATTTCAAAATCCAGCATCCAATGTGACCTCCTTCAAGATCCAGTATTTCAAAATCCAGCATCCAATGTGACCTCCTTCAAGATCCAGTATTTCAAAATCCAGCATCTAATGTGACCACAAAATCACTATAAACATCTTTTTGTTAGTAAAAATGCCCTAAATTATGCGAGAATTAGAATGCAAGGTCAGTTATCAAGATATTATATTCAAAGTACATTATCATTGGATATAGTGTATTCGAAGCTCTATGTTCGTAGGTTGATATTATACTAAATCACCACCAAACTCAAAAACTAAAGCGAACATTTCTCGAAACATGGAGAATTGTGTTCTTGGGAAAAAGGAGGAGGAAGGAAGAAAAGCATTAGCAACCAAACATCCTCAAGTGTAGCCATTTGGGAGGAATCCCTTTCTTGACATTTTTGCAAGATCCTCCTTCATCCTTTCCACTCCTCGTCTTACCAAGTTGCCTTTTTGGAGGACTCTGTTGCTTCTTTTTCTGTTCATGTCTTTGAGTTTGAGGCTTCTCCTATCAAATGACAAAAAAAGGGGAGCTTAGATTCTAAGGAATATATCAAAACACAACCCACAACCCATCGATTATATACGGATCGACATCGTTCGTTTGACCGTAACGATGCTCAGTGTACTCACTGTCATTATCAGTATCAGCATCAGCTTCCAACCAACACCAAAATATTCAATGCCTCAAACAACATCAACTTGACTCAAAAAGTTTCATGACAGGAAAAAGAAAAGCAAAAGCAAAAGCATAATGCTTAATTGATTACCCCCCCAACTTGAGGCAAAGGAATATAATTGCTGGATCATTTTATTTCTTGTTAATTTATTCCTCTTTCCAAATCTTTGTCTGCTAGCAATTATTGTCTTTTTTTTTTCTCTTTAAACCTGAATTTGGGAAATTTTTGAGGTTCCTCCATGGCTGGGATAATGGAATATGGGGTATGAAGACGATGGCTCCCCTCTGCAAAACTGTTTAGGAGTTGGAGAAGATGAACTGATATCAGCTGATGTCTGTGTTGAACCTAATGATGAAGGATTTGAGGAGCTGCCTGAATCCATCTCCAAACATAGCTGCCAATTAAGGCAAGAAATAATTTGAGAAAGATGATGAAAAAGAAAGAACATGTTATGAAGGAGGAATATTTGAACCTGGAAAAGTCTGTGCTCAAGAGATGCCACTCGATCCAACAATGAACCTTTAAAGTAAGTATCTTTTAGTGCAACATCCAAAGATATGCACTTCTTTTCCACGCCTCCCACTCTTTCCAACCTCTGTTTTTTCTCCAAATACTTCATCTATGCAAAAAATAACACACCCCCATATGTAAGTGAACCTCTAAATAACTATTTACAAGAAAAAAAACAGAGGAACTTACAACCAAATCCATGTAATCTAATCTGGAAAAAAGGGTCATTGAGGAAGAAGATGAGGAATGTTGTGGATGATGGGGTTGTAGCTTTGCATAATCCTCCATTGGATTGGATCGGAGCTTTTGGTTTCTTGGAGAAATGGGTATGTTGTTTAGTTTTGTGGTTGTTTGTGAGGGTTTTTAGTGTGAAACAGTTGTGTTTTCCCACCTTTTTCTGTTGCTGATTCAGAATAAGTATGGGATTTGGTTTTACTAAGTCAAGGGTTGAATTGAGCTGAAGAAGGACAGCCCAAAAGTAGTTTTGATTAGGCTGATCCATGGCTGGCCAATCATTCAAGGTCCAATAATGGAGCTTCATCATCTCCAGTCATTTTTAAGAAATGGGCTTGCCAATGGGTCATCTAAGTTTTTGTCAGATCAGATTTTTCAAACGTGAAGTATGGGATTGATATTGATATCTCTGTTTGTCTTCAAGCACTAAATTATACCATCATGGTTGTGTTCTTGTTTTTACCCATTTAAGTTTTAAAAGGTCTAAAATTAAGAGGAAACCAGAAGGGATGATTCCATACGAAAATGACCGAGACCAGATGTCGATTTCAAATATTTTAGGAATTTTTTAAACTTTTATAGGGATAAGCTTTGTTTGTAACTTCGCCCCGTCTTACAACAATCTAGCTTTGAAGGAAAAGAGTATTATATATTTGTACCAGCTAAAGTTTATCTTTATTGTTTAATTTGGTTCGTTACGGATCGTCATTCAGTCTATTGTCCACTTTGACCATTACGTATTGTCGTTGTCGGTAGCCTCACAATTAAAATGATCTTTTTGGGGGGAGGCTATAAATGTGAATACTTAGTTCCTAATTAATTTAATAAACAATTATCTAAAATTCAATTTTCTTAAAGAATTTAACGTACCACTCAAAAAAATAAAAATAAAAAATTGGTCCTTTGTATCTATACTGCCTTTATTGTGACAAGCATAAAAAAGAAAATCAATAAAAAAAAAAATCAATACATAAAAAGGAAAGAACTTTAACCTAATTTACAAATAGAGCATGATATTTCCGGGGTCGTGTATGTATATCGTAATGGAAAATAATATGAGAAACATAATCCCTGTTGTATTTCTAAAAATACCAACAATCAAATGCAAAGTTGATGAGTTCAGTTTTATTTCTTGCAGTATGCTCGGAGAGTAATGAATGGCCACAATGGCTTTTCTTTTAAGCCATGAGCTATGAACCAATATGAATGCAATTCCTTAACCTAAACTAGACCTGGTGATTTCGTATACCAAGAAGCAAGCTGCATTGGCTGGGACACTGCGGACAATGGCAGGTCCAAAACCCTTGTATAGCCCTTTAACTCCTTCTGAGGCCATGATTTTCCTGAAAGCATCAATTGAACCAGAAAACCTTGGGTTTTTGTAATCATCCACCTGAATTACGCTCTTGATAACATCAGTTGGATAGACAGCTAGCCAAAAGGCAGCTCCAGCTACACCCCCAGCTACTATTAGAGACCCTCTTCCTAGATTCGAAGTGTCTCGACCTCCTGCAAACTGCTGTTTTAGCAGCTCGTAGGTGCCGAATGCCACAGCGTTTCCAGGAACTTCTCTTGCCAATGTTGGAATCAAGCCTTTGAAGAGACCCTTCACTCCACTTGATTGAAGAACATGCTTGGCTACATCGACTGGACCGCCATACTTCACTGCCACACCAACGGAACTGGATGTTGTCAATGCACTCTGAGCTTGCAGTCTGTTCTTTAACAAGAAAAAAAAAAATGAAGGTTGTAATGTCTTGTGAAGTTTCTCATTGTTGGAAAGTCAAATAGTTTGCAGAGTTTAAGAAAAGGTTGTGCAAACCTGCATTTGATCAACTCAGTTGGACAAGCTAGAAGAGACACAGCAGTGCCAGCGCCAGCCCCACAAATCACTTGTTGGTGAACTTGAAGGGAGGCACCAGGATAAGGCCTAAAGAAGGCCTCTATTTGTCCTCTTACACTGAAGAGAACAGCATTCAATGCAGCAACTGTAGCCAATGGAGCTCCCATACCTTTGTACAAACCTTTTGGGCCTTCTGAAGCTAATGTTTGTCTGACAGCATCCATTGCTCCAGAAAACTTGGGAACTTGGCCAGGAAGTGGTGCAGGTTGGCTTTGGAGCTTCACCTTAATTGTATCAAATGGATGCCCACATATCAATTGAGCTGCTCCCCCAGCAGTCCCAGCAGCAAGATCCTTGGCCACATCTCCCATATGGCTGGTAAACACTTCGCTGCACTATTTCAAGTTCTTTAACAATCTGAAGTGTTTATAAGCAGAGTAGCAGACTCACATGAAAGATGATTGAAGTTAGACCAAGAACAACAAAGGAAGAGTAAAGGAAGGACAAGGATCATTCTTCTCACCTTCTGCTTAACCTACATATCACTTATAATCCTACCTAATAGAGAAGATAACCAACCATGACTAACTCCAAACCAAATTAGAAATTAACACAATCACGACAGCAATATGAGGTTTGCACAAAATATTAATCTACACTGTCAGATTTGTCAGAATTTCAGTCTCATCAATCATGCTGAATGTGACGATAAATTCTTGTCATTTATTTCTTAGTCAAAAAGCTAAAGCTTGCATTGGAATAGCTACAAGACAAGACAAGACACCCTTAATTCTAGTACTTCAGATAAAAATCAAATCATCCGCTCAGAGAGAATTTGAATTAGCAATCAGAACGCGTTGAAATATAAATTCAGAAGCTGTTAGATTACCAAAATCAGCTCCAGATTTCTGGGGAAACTGCTTCTGAATCCCTACAATCAGGTAAAACGATTCAACGAGCACGAGAATAGAAGTCTAAATGATCGGTTACATGCAAGAACTTCACTGGACGGCAACTTTCAAATGTTTAATCAAAAAGAGAAATGTGGAAGCGGAAACCATTGATTGAGAAAAGAGAGAATCGGATAGATCAAAAACAGTTCATCATGATCCATAAGCTACCATCATACAAAAGTGACAAACAGTAGCGATGGAAATGGAAAGATGAAAACATAGTTCAAACTCAACGAAATCTCATATTCGAACGGAAACAGAAACCTTGAAATCTCACCGGAAGCGATTTGCAGGAAGCTGAAGAGACCTAGATCAGAAATGAGACACCGTAAGAGAGACGAAACAGCATTCGCCTTTGACCTCTTTCTCCCGGCGGCTGTCTTTATGTTACTTTACTTTACGGCGAAAAATTGGGCGAAAAGATTTAAGACATTTGACCTTTTGACGATTATTTTCAAATAAATAAATAAATAAATAAGGTGTAACAGACTGTAATTAGTGCTCATAAACAAAGCATTGAACTTAAACCTTAGACAGCAAATATAAATTCTAGTATTTAATTAAGGGTTTGATTAGACTTTACCTAACAAATTCCTACCAAAACAATCTCTTGGACATAAGCTCAAAACTTATGGGGTAAAAAAGAAATTATGGGTTAATTTTGAACCGGGATAACAACACACTCCCCCACTTAAACAACGGTTACGTCCAACTCAAATAATAAATCTAAGTCGACCTTGAAGTCATGCCTCGATTATTTAAAAATAAATTTATTTATGACTCCTAAAATCGTCCAAATCTTACTAGAAGATATATTTTTTTTTCATATTCTCAAAATAAAATCTGTTGGTTAGATGGAATTATTTATTTGAGATTTGTATGGAATATGAATATAAATAAAATGAAAATCCCATATATATATATATATATATATATATATATATATATATTTATATATGGAAAAGAATATATATGGAATAGGCTTTGAGTTCTCGGGAGGCCGTATCTAAAAAGGCATAAAATAAACCCTAAATAATAGAAAATTTTTAATTAGCCATTTTCTTAAAATTCAGTTTCTTTCTTTCTCCAGTTCTGTAACTTCCTTCACAAACTCCTCACTCTTTCATCATCATCATCATCATCTGCTTCATCTTCTTCATCTTCTTCTTCATTCGCTCTCAACTTCACTCTTTTGTTACCCTCAAATCTCACATTTCTGAGAATTGGAAGAACAATAGGAATTCTGATAGTGAAGTTTCTTTGTGTCCTGATTCTGCTTTTTTTTTTTTTTTTTTTTTTTTTTTTT